AAAAACATCTCTACGTTGAGCTGAAAGATTTTAAAGACAGGTGGTTTTATTGTCGAGTATAGAGTTGGTGCACCATAATACAAAAAACTTTCGTTTCATTACGTCAGTCTCTGAAGTTATAATACTACAAGCCATACTACGCCTGTATTATTATTCTTTGTAAATTTGCTATTCATAGTTGTAGCATGTTATGCTCGCATTAAACAGTGTATATTGCTATTCGCATTTAGATCGTAATGTAAATTTGAGTCAATAAGTTGCTCCAGCCAATGAGGAGGAGAGTGAGGATAATAACTATAGACAAAACGAGATATACGAATATATTCGTAATACCAAGTTAATTAAATCTGTATAAAATCTATTATCATTTACTATTACGGATATTTTAGTATTAAGAAAATTTCTACCATCAAATATTCTCTCGGCTCTCCATCCTTAATTTTATCTCTTTCTTAATCAATTTTCAACGTTTGGATATTTGATTGTTACATAATCGTAAATTAGAGTTCTCCTCGATTAGATCCTCAAAACGAACCAGTATTTTTTCTTTTCCAATTCTACAGTGAAGAGTGCGAGTAAAGTTGTGAATTTAGGTACTATTACTATGGTCATAAATTGTATGATTTATTGAAAACTGTTCTCTAACATTTCGAATCTCTTGTCGCTCAATATTCTTTACCTTATTACCACCTAGCGCTTTGTGTATGAATAGTATGCAGAAGGAATTTAGTACATTCTTGTTATTATATTAATATTAATGATTTTACAAGTCAGTTTTTGTGTTACATATCCGCAAAAATGAATGTAATAGCCGGCAAAATAGTTTTAATGTCAAATTGTGAGCAGGAAGAGACTTGAGTTTTTTTTTTTTGAGGAATACCTTCGATTGGCTCTATCTAATTTAACCTTCACTTAGCACACCGCATGTCGTAGAGGGTAGAAAACTTAACCGTCAACTACTGCTATCGTGAGGAACTAACCGTCAACTACTACTATCGCGAGGAACTAACCATCACTACTTACACACCCGACATTCCAAAAGTCAAGCACTCACATGAATAGTTCATTACAGATTAGTATACATTATTGTTACATGTACACATGAAGATTTTATCACATTGTTCTTTGACCGGACTTCCTTTTGTTTACGTTGTACATAATGTGCAACCACGTAACAGGTTTTTGTGTTGCAGAAAATACTAATTACGTGAGATAGTGGGAACAACGCCATCAAGACGACTACAATCTGCTGAGCAATAGCTATCGTAAAAGGCTTTATTGTCCTACTTTTAGACTACTGATAGCGCACCTGCCTGTGAAAGCGGCAGATCAAAGAAAAACGCCATTGAACAAAGTTTGCCCTACAATCAGCTTAGTAAACAAATCGTTATCGCAAGCATATTATCTATCCGCAGACAATAATAATGCGAAAAAGCAACAAAGGATACAAAAAAAGGCTTGGCGTATCAAAACGATACTGATAACGCACCGCCCCAAAAAAACAAATGAACAAATAGAAATGTCAATAGACAGCGTTGTTCTGCGCTTCTGCAGAGCAAGCATGATTAAACATTAATATATGCAATTCGATAATTTAGTGGTGATATTACGGTTTTGATTGAGAAACTCGAACGGGTTGAAAGAAATAAAAAAACAGTAGTTCGAAAAATTGTTTATATCAAGAGTTGATTAATAAACTTGTACGAGTGAATAGATTGTCCAATGTAAATGCGATAAATAAATAGATAGATAGGCATACATTGATCCATACTAAGAGAGACAAAGACATTCATACCAACTTAAAAATGACTGGGGTGGAAATTGTTGTCAGTGTATACAATATAAACATAAATGGTTAAACTCTCATTGTCAGTGGAGGTCGGGGGTATCATGCTACAGCACTTGATCGTAACGAATAAAGTTGAGAAGATTGGATTGGCTACGATTGTTTGCTTAAAAACATTCGCTGGATGAGTTGGATTACATTGTAGGTTGATTGATTTTATTGTATTAACAACTTTGCCACAAACATTTAATAGAAATTCTCAATCTACCTACACAACAACTACGCTAATTGAACCTATCTTTCTTGGAGATGGTCCACTTGCAATTACTTCAGCACTTCCTTTATATTGCTTATCAATTAGCCACATGTATTTATCAGATCTCAAACGCGTATTGATATCATAAACAGGAACCTTACAATAAGGAAAGAAGGCTTTATCAATCGTTAAAAACGTTTATATTGATTGATAGAGCCCGAACGAATAGAATAATGGCTCTCTTCAAAGCCTCTGATTTCTCGAGTTGATTGATATGAGAATTACTACGTATACATGTTATGTGTTATGTCACACTTCCACAATTATCACATGACTGTTGATCGAATTTTTACCACGCGCATTGAAAAGAGATTTAACTATTATACTTCAAGGACGTTGAAAGGTGCACTACACCCTTTTGGTTGTCGACAATTTGTGTCGTACTTGGTCTGAGCATCGCATGGAAGCGTGCTTAAACATTGCCTTCACAGGCTCGCGAATGGACCGTTTCAAAGCCTATGTCAACACGCCGGTACGTGCTCGTTAACAAGGACAACAAGTTCGACTAAACGGTTAACGCCACACATCCGATTGCGACATTTGTAGTAGATTTTATAGCCATGTGGTCTTCAAGAGATAGGGTGAATGAAGAAAAAATGAATATAATTGGTCAATTGATGGTGGGCGATGGTGGGCGAGAAGAGAAGGTCAATATAGAGTTGGGTGCGAAGTTGACCGTTGATCCTAATATCAGATTGCAGATTCTAAAACAATCACATCAATCTTGTTTTTTCGTTCTATAACAGCAAGGAGCCATAACGCAACCGCTTTAATGGCTCATGTCTTTGACAAGCTGAACATCTCAAAACGTTTGACAACCGAGTAAACGGCGTTATCCAAGCACTTGTTGCCTTAACGGAATTCAAAACGACAGTTGAAAACTAGTCAACGCAGATTCATGAATGGTAATTAGTTGGAGAGTCATGTTACGCACATTTATTCTGCTGTAGTATGTCCAGTCCACATTACCCGTCCAATCAACTCACGCGATTTCTCCTTTTCTTTCGATTTGGTGAACCAAAAATCAATGCAAGTTTTCCGATCCCCCACTCAGCCCAAGAGATACAAGCACCCTGCCTGTCATCAAATCGCTCATTTATAAATCAAAATCACTAGACGGCGCTCTATCCGACTTCACCGACATTCAAAGCTTTATCGTCCACGCGTCTCAGTAATCTCCAGACTATCGAAGGCCTCAGACGACTTTGAAGAGACTATTTTTGTCGTGAAACCAGTGACTGCTCCTGCTGCAGTTCTGAAGTTATTCCAGAAAGTGGGAGATGCGTAGTCAGGTGCTTCAAAAGATTTGTGTTTATAACTCGAAGGCATCATTACAGGTTTGTTACGAGCCCGTGAAAATAATATTTACGCTTTTTGATCATTGTCTCAACGTCTTTTCTCATGCTGTTCTTTTTGTTTTACCCCAAATGCCCGGTTTTTTTTTTTGTGACATAGACTATAAGCGCAGAGATTGGTTTGGGCGTTTGCTGAGAGAAGGTGGGAATAGAGCTTTACGTATCCAAGGATGAGTTATGCGAATAATCAGAGCATATTCGTACTTTGACGTATCTAATATGATGAAGGTGGGTGTTATTTAACTGCTTTGACGTGCAATGTCCTTCTCAAGTCTCATGATAGTTGCCTTTATTATTTTTATATTTTCTCCTACCGCAAAGAAAACGTACAAGACAGTGTTTAACGGCATTTCATTCTCCTTCAAAAATTCCGATTAATAGCGTTGCAGATATTTTAAACTGTAAGTGAATACTAAACGTAACTGCAAACTGCATATAGGAATCAGGAAATTGCGAAATGGAAATTATTGCAATTTTGAATTTTCTTATTATTATTATTCCCATCAGAAATATTATTTCAGATGCTAACCGCTCATCTTTGTTCATAACTTTTAGGAACAGAGGATTCACGAGCGCTTAATGGGCGGTAGACGCGAATAGCTACAATGTATACTATTCCGTTCAGAGGCAACGTTTGAGCAAACTGACACGTGGAAACGAAGACGATGACGCAATGAAATCTAGAAAACGATATATGTAGGCGTCAAGAAGCGCTGCGAGCTAGGATTATCGAAGATGATACAGAGACATTAACCCAAAAAAATGTGAATCCCCATACACAACACAGCAAATGCTTGACATAACCCAAGACACGCACAGAGATAGGTTCAATTTCCGTGGGATGAAGGTCTTGTCGAATATAACATTGAGCTCTGGTGATGATGAAGAGAGTTGACATTACAAGAGGGTAGATGACCTGAAAACATTATTCCCCGCTCAAACTCATTAGAACGAAAACTTGAGTGAAGAGAAACGTGAAAATCTTGAAAGCGTATGAAGTGTTGTCAAATGCGTAGATTGGTAGCTCGGGCGAAAATAGTTATGGTATTGAATAAGAGCTTTGGTAAGTTGAGACGTGTGAGAATCGGAAAGGGACAGGGGAAAGGATTGTTGAATGTTTGTAGCCGCTCATGCTTATATTAATAATATCTTTGATTATGCCTAGGCTGCCCAGGTTTATAAGGCAAGATTAGTATGGTAATGTTTACCATCGAGACTTAAATATCATGACCAAATTTCAATGAACGCAGCCTTTACGTTGAGACGAACGTAGTACGGGACTTCTTTATTTTGATTATTTTGGTGAGTAAAAGATGGAAGAATTTGGAGTGTTAGATGGTGAGGAAACTGGGAGTGGTATCTACGTTATTGTAGGATAATCATTATATGTTACATGCTGTATCTATGTTTAGCGACTACATTCGTAGTTAACGCTTGTTTACATTAATTCTTTATTGTTTATTTTATAGCAAATACGGATTCGTCTGTAAAGAATTGTTGGTTACGTCTACGTTTTGGAGGAGATATTTCTGTGAAGCGATGCATTCGCAATGGAGAGAACGTCAGCAGACACGGACTTAACTTCGGACTACTGTACTACTCAATCTCATACCGCACTAATCATCTGATATAAGTGCTTTACCTCATAGGACTCGGGCTCTCCACATTATGCTCGCGATAGCCCTTTGTGGGCCAACCCTTTGAATTAGTTTAAACGATAGGAACAGCGGAAAAGTTTTAACCACTACGATTAAATGTTTTTCCGACATCCATTCCCTTAGAACACATCACAATTATGCAAAAACTATAGTAGAAAATCTTCGTTTTATTATAGCCTTCCAGAGCCTCGTTTTACCTGCC